GTTTAAGCTTTTTCAGGCTATGGTTGAAAAAGAAACTGGACAGAAATTGATGTGTGTCCGGACGAACAATGGTGGTGAATGTATTGGGCCATTTGATGAGTATTGTCGCAGCCAAGGTATTCGGCACCAAAAGACAGTTAAGAAGACTCCTCAACAAAATGGCGTTTATTTTGGATCTTCTACAACTCTGGTTCTGAAGATTTTGGTTCTTCTATTTGGTGAGGTCTTTCCTCTTTGTTTATTTGTGATTATTTGGAATTCACCTAAAGGTGATTTTTGTGAGACCATTAGTGTCTCGTTTGTAATCGTTTGGAATTATTTGGTTGATAGTGGAATCGGATTTCGATCCCGTGGACGTACCTCACATTGAGGGAACCACGTAAAAATTCTTGTGTTGCCTTTGATTTAATTTTTCCGCATTAGTTTTTATTCCCATTGATTGATTTACTTGTGGGGAATCACATCGATTTTCCCTAACAAGGTTTACAGTTGAAACTTACTCCCTGTTCCTCCTCCTCCTCTTCCTCTTCCTCTTCTTCATCATGATGTTCTTCTTCTTCTTCTTCTTGCTGTCATGCAAATAGAGGAATGCTCATAGATAAGCTTTTGATTGATAAAAAAATATGTGAAAATGTAAGTAATAGAAGAAATATAAACATACATGAAAATAAGAGATCAGCTATCATGGTCTACAACATTACTATTTTATAAAGAGTGATTTAAGTTAACAAACATATATATTTTCAAGAGTTGAGAAAACAATAAAAGAGCATATTTTTTTTAGCAGTGTTTCAACAATTTCTTTTTTCCTTTCCTTTTTTTTGGCTGGTTTAATTAACGCTCCACTTGTTAAGTAGTCTATTCAATGATGACAACTTTCTCAAGGATTTGGCTTTAGAAAATATGAACATGGCATTCACCCAAAAAAATATGAACATGGCAGTTTCACCATGGGATTTTTTCAAATTGCACCAAAATATAACTTGATATGGAATCTCCATTTATAGAAGGCATGAATTTTATTGCACTAAAAATTGTAATAAGTTTAAAAATTGATGGAATGACGAGTTTGTTTGGAGATCAATCTCCAAAAACTTCAGCGTGTGTGGTTTGGCCCTCTACACGTTGGTAGTAGTGGAAAATTCACCACGAAAATATTCTTTTATTTTGTCCCATTCATAAAATTGTTGGTCTATTGGAGAAAAGGGTAATGATGTTGAGAGTGCCAATCATCAAATTCAGCAAAATAGGGCTTAAATTTTTCTAATTAAGATTACATAAAAATATGCTTAATGGAAGAGAATGAAGTATTTATCAACAGCGGGAACGAACATACCTTCTCAAAAAAGTGTCGAATGGTCTTATTGAGATCTCTTTTTATCCGGATCGATTTTGCTTCCACTTTTACATGATATAGATTTGGGGCATGCACGAATCCAGGAGAGAAAGTCTGCATTTCAAGGCAATTAACGGCTTCCAAGTGATGTAAAGATGGCATTTCCCAGTCATGAATAGCATGGCAAAACTTCCCGAGTGAGGGTAGATCTCTGAGTTCCAAATGTTTCAATTGAGCGAACAGAGTAACGTAAATCCAATCTCCACCCATTTGTTCCTCATCCTCATTGCCACCACTGCTTCCATTGCTGAGCAATCATGTATTATTAGTTCTTGAAGATGCACAAAACATCTAGCAACAGAAGGAGAGAACATATTTCTCAAGCTGCCACAACATCTAACAATTAGGGTTCTTATGTTTTCAAGGGGATTTCCTTGTTGGCCACCTAATCTGAATACCTCTTCCACCGAATCACAGTTATATATTTCCACTTTTTCTAGATTCGGTGGCACTTTCAATATATGAGCAGGAAGAACATTTCTTACTAATCCGTGACAGTCTCTCACCACGAGAGATCTTAGTTTACAGAATGATCCTGTTGAAAGTTCACTGCACCATAAGTCACTTGCATTTGGCAAATCAACAAGTTTTAATTCCTCCAAGTGAGGAAATACAACCTGCAAACAAAATGATTGTATTAACAAGAATACTGTTGAAAGTATTATGTAATGTTAAAAACAAACAGAAAAAGAAAAACAGAACTTGTAACTCTTGTCTTATAATTAGCACTCAACTTCTACAATTGCCTTTCCTTCAAGTAAGGTTGCATGAGGTTATGAAGATTGTCATTTTAATGGAAAAGTTGTTGGCCTTGGATTATGTGGACCCTTAGCAACAAGGTGCAACAATTTTCAGGTTATCCTGGGAGGCCCAAAACTAAAAAAAAAAATTTATTCTATACCAACAGAGTACACATGGCAAAGTCATGTGGTACCCTCCAACCAATCACAAATGATTATGCCCCGTGTTATCTTCCAAACACCAACATGAATATGATAGACCCCACCGTCTAATTTAATCAGAAGAGAGGAAGGTACCACTTGTCAAAGCTATATTTTTACACAAGAACATGGCCTCCAATTGTTTAACATCAACACATTTAACAATTTAAAATTGGATTCGGCAACGATTCATCACTGCAACCACTTGACATTATTGTTATCTTATGTTGTACAATGTACAAGACTTTCTTATTGACAAGGAAAAATCTATAGTCGTCCTAGCAATTTTTATATACTTTTATAATGGATTGAAAACAAAAATTTGAAAAAGAAAATCATAATAAAGATATCACTATTTTTGTACATTTATGTTTTTCTGCTTATTCTTAATTTATGAGCTGGAAATCTTTAATAACCCAAACTAGTGGCTTGTTTAATTCCTAGATTTAGGCATTCTCAACTAAGCCCTTCAACTGAAGATTTTCAACCAGTAGAGATCAAAAACAAGGTTAGTCAAGTAGAACCGGGCTGGTTGGGGCTGACAACAAACACTCATCTACATACTTAAAGGCTTAATCCTGTTCCAGTCCCCAACCACATCTCCTTCTCATTCACCTAAAAACTCGAACTAGAAGAGAGTTGCTTTGTAATGGAAACATTTTTGGTCACCAAGGTGGACGGCAGTGATAGGAAGACCCCCCACCCCTCCCCTCCCATATAAGGGCCTGTTTGCCAAACTTTTAGAATTGACTTAGTTTCTCCACATCCGAAATGGCATGGCAATATGATTAGATTAGCACTCAGCTTCAATCTGGAAACCCCATAATTTAATTTAAAATCATTTTATCATGCCAAGATTCATATGATTAAGTACATCTATATACTTGGGAGTTTTGAAACATTTTATACTACTCTGAATTATGATGCTATTAACAATTTCGTAACTATTCTTTCATAAAATTGAAAATTGAAAATTCTATAGAGATTCTTCTACTACATATGTTTTAACATTTTCAACCACTTTCTACGATACTATCCTGTGCATCGCAATTCACATCGTCCAACTGTCACTGAAATACTAACTTCGCATAGCAACTAGACGGGAAGTTGGGTGATGCTATGGTACATTTAGGTGTACCATACATTTAGTTATGAACTTATATGATTTTATATCATAACCTATACCATATTAGTCATAACTATCACCATATTAACTCATAACTTAGTTATATTCAATTATTTACTTATACCATATTACTTCATAACCAGGTCATTAAAAGTGACCTGCTAAACAGGTCACTTTTTATAGTTATGAGCTAAAATCATATTTCTTCATAACTATAATCAAATTGATCATAACTTAGCTATAACTACATCTCATAACCAACACCATTTTGTTCATAACTAATATCACATATTTCATAACCACATCTCATAACCAACACCATTTTAGTCATAACTAACATCACATATTTCATAATCATAATCACATATCTCATAACCAACACCACTTTGATCATAACAAATATCACATATCTCATAACTATTGATCACATATCTCATAACCACATCTCATAACCAATCCCTTTGAGTCATAACCAACATCACATATCTCATAACCACTAGTCACATATCTCATAACCAACACCTTTTTGTCATAATTAATATCACATATCTCATAACCACTAATCACACATCTCATAACTACTACCCACATACATCATAACCACATCTCATAACCAATCCATTTGAGTCATAACCAGCATCACATATCTCATAACCACTAGTCACATATCTCATAACCAACACCTTTTTGTCATAACTAATATCACATATCTCATAACCACTAATCACACATCTCATAACTACTACCCACATACATCATAACCACATCTCATAACCAATCCCTTTGAGTCATAACCAACATCACATATCTCACAACCACTAGTCACATAACCAATATCTCATAACTCATAACCATTAATACATAAAGCATAACAACACCCTTTGACACCACTTTGCTCATAACCATTACCCACATATCTCATAACCAACATCACATATATCATAACTACTAATCACATATCTCATAACCAAACACCCTTTGACTTATAACTATACCACTCTACTCATAACCAAAATCACATATCTCATAATCACTAATCATATATCTCATAACTTTTACCCATATATGTTATAACCACATCTTATAACCAGCACCCTTGGTTTCATAATCAATATCACATATATCATAACCACTAATCATATATCTCATAACCACTACCCACATATAGGCACATATCTCATAACCAACACCTTTTTGTCATAACCAATATCATATATCTCATAACCACTCATAACCATTACCCACATATCTCATAACCAACACCTTTTTGTCATAACCAATATCATATATCTCATAACCACTCATAACCATTACCCACATATCTCATAACCAACACCTTTTTGTCATAACCAATATCATATATCTCATAACCACTCATAACCATTACCCACATATCTCATAACCAACACCTTTTTGTCATAACCAATATCATATATCTCATAACCACTCATAACCATTACCCACATATCTCATAACCAACACCTTTTTGTCATAACCAATATCATATATCTCATAACCACTCATAACCATTACCCACATATCTCATAACCAACACCTTTTTGTCATAACCAATATCATATATCTCATAACCACTCATAACCATTACCCACATATCTCATAACCAACACCTTTTTGTCATAACCAATATCATATATCTCATAACCACTCATAACCATTACCCACATATCTCATAACCAACACCTTTTTGTCATAACCAATATCACATATTTCATAACCACATCTCATAACCAACACCATTTTAGTCATAACTAACATCACATATTTCATAATCATAATCACATATCTCATAACCAACACCTTTTTGTCATAACCAATATCACATATTTCATAACCACATCTCATAACCAACACCATTTTAGTCATAACTAACATCACATATTTCATAATCATAATCACATATCTCATAACCAACACCTTTTTGTCATAACCAATATCACATATTTCATAACCACATCTCATAACCAACACCATTTTAGTCATAACTAACATCACATATTTCATAATCATAATCACATATCTCATAACCAACACCTTTTTGTCATAACCAATATCACATATTTCATAACCACATCTCATAACCAACACCATTTTAGTCATAACTAACATCACATATTTCATAATCATAATCACATATCTCATAACCAACACCTTTTTGTCATAACCAATATCACATATTTCATAACCACATCTCATAACCAACACCATTTTAGTCATAACTAACATCACATATTTCATAATCATAATCACATATCTCATAACCAACACCTTTTTGTCATAACCAATATCACATATTTCATAACCACATCTCATAACCAACACCATTTTAGTCATAACTAACATCACATATTTCATAATCATAATCACATATCTCATAACCAACACCTTTTTGTCATAACCAATATCACATATTTCATAACCACATCTCATAACCAACACCATTTTAGTCATAACTAACATCACATATTTCATAATCATAATCACATATCTCATAACCAACACCTTTTTGTCATAACCAATATCACATATTTCATAACCACATCTCATAACCAACACCATTTTAGTCATAACTAACATCACATATTTCATAATCATAATCACATATCTCATAACCAACACCTTTTTGTCATAACCAATATCACATATTTCATAACCACATCTCATAACCAACACCATTTTAGTCATAACTAACATCACATATTTCATAATCATAATCACATATCTCATAACCAACACCTTTTTGTCATAACCAATATCACATATTTCATAACCACATCTCATAACCAACACCATTTTAGTCATAACTAACATCACATATTTCATAATCATAATCACATATCTCATAACCAACACCTTTTTGTCATAACCAATATCACATATTTCATAACCACATCTCATAACCAACACCATTTTAGTCATAACTAACATCACATATTTCATAATCATAATCACATATCTCATAACCAACACCTTTTTGTCATAACCAATATCACATATTTCATAACCACATCTCATAACCAACACCATTTTAGTCATAACTAACATCACATATTTCATAATCATAATCACATATCTCATAACCAACACCTTTTTGTCATAACCAATATCACATATTTCATAACCACATCTCATAACCAACACCATTTTAGTCATAACTAACATCACATATTTCATAATCATAATCACATATCTCATAACCAACACC